GTGTGATTTCTTAAATGCTGTTCAAAGGGACCTGGAAAGTTGAAAGTCTTACTACAATTTTTAAAGAGAGTAAAATGATCTTCCCAGTTGTGAATTCTCTACAAATTTGAGGAAAATTCTGAAAGCTGAATACTGCCCCACATGGCTTATTCTCAGTATTTTCTACAGTATGCGTCCTTTCATACAACTGAACAAAACTAGAACATCTGAACCCTTTATATTTCTTACTTGCATAGGATTTATACCTTTTATTCCAAAAGAATCTTCCCAGTCCTTAGTAAAATACTGAGAAAACTAGAAGATTTCCCACATTCTCACACTCACAGGGCTTCTCTCCGTGAGGGTTTTCATATATGAAAATGAAAACAGGGCTGGATGGGAAGCTGACAGGATGTAGAAAATCCCCCACAGACTGTTTTTTTTTCCAATGTGAATAAAATGGCTTTGAAGACAACAGGGAAAATGGAATGATTTGTGATATTTTTTTACATTTAAAGAGTTATTCAGTTGGATGTGGTGGTGTTTGCCTTTAATTACTGAGACTTAAGAGGTGGATACTGAAGGATACATGTTGGACACTAGCCTCAGCAACTAAGAAAGACCCTAAGAAATTCAGCAGGTCCCTGTCTCAAAATTAAAAGTAACTGGAGGGCTGGGGATGTGGCTCAAGTGGTAGTGCGCTCGCCTGGCATGCGTGCGACCGGGGTTCGATCCTCAGCACCACATACCAACAAAGATGTTGTGTCTGCCGAGAACTAAAAAATAAATTTATTAAAAAAAATAAATAAATAAAAGTAACTGGAATGTAGCTCAGTGTAGAGCACAATCAGGCATAATCCCCAGTCTCTCTCTCTCTCTCTCACACACACACACACATTTTCAGCAGTGTGAGCTTTTTCTTGTCTTTGAGGATGACATGAAACATTGATTTACCAGATTTTACATTAAAATGATTTTTCTCCAATAACGTTCTACATATATATGAGTGAAACTGTAATATCAAAGTCTACCAATTGTTTTCATGCATACAATTTCTCTGCATTATCTGTTCTTTTTTTGAGAAAGAGAGAGAGAGAGAGAGAGAGAGAGAATTTTAATATTTATTCTCTAGTTTTCGGCGGACAAAACATCTCTGTTTGTATGTGGTGCTGAGGATCGAACCCCGCCCACAGGCATGCCAGGCAAGCGCGCTACCACTTGAGCCACATCCCCAGCCCAGTATCTGTTCTTTCATGTGTGTGAAGCAGACAGGATGAGGCAAAAGCTTTTCCTCATTGTTGACATTCATAGGTCTTTTCTCTGGTATGTATTCTTAAATGTCTGTGAAGCTGAGGGGATGTAGCAAAGGCTTTGCCACACTGCTTACATTCATAGGGCTTCTCTCCAGTNAAGGCTTTGCCACACTGCTTACATTCATAGGGCTTCTCTCCAGTGTGCATTCTTCCATGAATCTGAAGGTAACTGGATCTAGAAAAGGCTTTGCCACACTGCTTACATTCATAGGGCTTCTCCCCAGTATGAGTTTTTTTATGTGACTGAAGGTAATTGGATGTAGAAAAGGCTTTGCCACACTGCTTACATTCATAGGGCTTCTCTCCAGTATGTATTATTCCATGTCTGTGAAGGTCACTGGACGTAGCAAAGGCTTTGAAACACTGCTTACATTCATAGGGCTTCTCCCCAGTATGCATTCTCTGATGTATTCGAAGTAAACTGGGATAATCAACGTCTTTCCCACATATCTTACATTTGAAATGTGCATCCCCTGTGTGTGTGATCCTGTGCCTTTGAAGACTTGTGTGTGAAATACAGGTGTGAACACCTGGTTGACATTCATAAACTTTCTCTGTAGAATGAGTTCTTTCATGTCTTCTAAATAAAGAGGAAAAATGAAAGGCTTTCCCACATATGTCCCATTGAAAATGTTTACCTCCACTGTGTGTTATCATGTGTCTTTGAACACCGGTGGGATAAGAAGACGCTTCAACACATTGTTGCCATTCATTGGGTTGCCCCCCACTATGAGTTTCTTCATGTCTTTCAATGTCATTGGAACAACTGATGACTTTCCCACATACTATACTTTCATAAGATCCATCTACCCTTTGTATTAACATTTGTGTGTGAACACTTTTGAGAGAAACCAGAGATTTCCTATATTGTTTCAATTCACATGGCTTCTCTTCACATTCCTCATGCTTGTAGTGTTGGTGTCCAGAGTATGATGTGATCTGCCTGAAGGAATGAAGGTCATATGAAGTCTTTTGCACACATAATGAAGTCACATGGATTTACCCTACTAAAATTTTTCTTTGTTCAATTAAGAGGTGGAATTGATTTGAAGGTTTCCCCACACTATTCTGTGCCTTTAAAGTTTACCATGACTTCTTTGAAGAAGTGACCAACACATAATCAATGCTTAATTCATTCACAATTTTGTATGTATTTATAGATCCTTACATTTCTACGAACATCAGCTAAAGGCTAGGTTTTCTGACTTGTTCAACTTGCCTGAAAATAAAGAGATTGAAAGGAAACAATCCTTTGCAACACAGCTTCTCTGTGGCTATTATCCAAATAGTGATATTCACATATGCAATTTTATAGTACTTTTTGCATGTCAAATACTTAGAAAAGACTGAATATCTGTTACAGCTAAGAATATATTTCTGGTAAAAAATATTATAAGAATAAATACATTTCATATTATGCATACTTTTTCAGTTTGTTTGCTTTAAAAATTATATGACAGTTCTCAGATTCCCTCACGAATTCCTCTTGTGAGTTCAGTTACCTTACATTGCTTCCAGAATTTTCGATCTGATTTTCAGTGGTCTTGTCTTCCCTCCTGTTTTCTAAAATGAGAGAACAGAACAATCTTTATGAATATTTAGGAGCTAGAAATGCTTTGCCAAATCATAGGTGCCATTTATGCTGTAATAGTTCACCAACTTATTTCCTTTTCACCTTCTACATAAATGACCAAAATAAACATGAGTTCTCTATTTGATTAATGTTAAAAACATCATTATTACCTATAGAAGCAAGGTTTCTGAGGACCTCCAGCATCACATCTCTGTAAAGGTTCTTCTGGGAAGGATCCAGCAAAGCCCACTCCTCCTGGGTGAAGTTCACAGCCATATCCTCCAAGGTCACTGAGATCTAAAATATCCCAAAAATGTATAGTGGAGACCAGGAGAGATTGACCGCATGAGAAATCTGTACTCAACATGTGTGATGTTCACATGATTCCCTGGCCTCTTGGTTAATTCCATGATTTTGTCCATCAAATCTTTACTGTACTCAATTTCTTTTTTTTTTTTTTTAAAGAGAGAGTGAGAGAGGAGAGAGAGAGAGAGAGAGAGAGAGAGAGAGAGAGAGAGAGAATTTTTATTATTTATTTTTTAGTTCTCGGCGGACACAACATCTTTGTTGGTATGTGGTGCTGAGGATCGAACCCGGGCCGCACGCATGCCAGGCGAGCGCGCTACCGCTTGAGCCACATCCCCAGCCCTGTACTCAATTTCTTACACCCATTCCAACACTAGAAATTGGCTACTCAGAAGGCAAACATCCTTTTTCAGTGTTTTATACCCTTCCTTTAATGAGTTCACAGGAAGGGAGAAAGGCTCCCAAATCACTCTTAACTTCTTTATTGGTTGCATCTCTATTACATGTCCTAGAAACGTCCTGTGGTACAGAGCTAATTAATATAAGCAATTCAGATAGTAGTTATCTTTAGAAAAAAAAAAAGGTGATGCATAAGAAATTGCAGGAATTATGAAACTAAGCATTTGGGAGAGATTCTGCAAACTACACTGGCTCCCTGTACCTACAAGGTTAAGATAAACAACATGGTATTTACTAATGTCTTGTTTCCTCTGAAAGTCTATTGTTCCATACTTAAAGAAATGCCTAGAACCAGCCCACACCCACATCCTCTGGGGATGGGGTCAATAAGGAGATTCCTTCATAGACAACATTTAGACAACCTTTCACACAGGTTGACACAATGTGGTAACTGGAGATTGAGTTCATCCTCTGTGATTATACATAGAACAATTAGAAGTTTGCTGGTGCTTTACTCCAGAACAAATTTAGACAACTTGCTTAATATTAAGTGACAAAAACAAACATAAGTTCTCTATTTGATTAATTTATTTATTAATAAACACAACAATTTTATAATTTCCTATGGTTACTGTCAAACCATAATGGGGTAAGTGAAAGATGGTACATGTCTTAGAAATAACTCAGTGACCCAAAAATGTCACCTTGTCCACACAGCAGCCTTACAAAGTTTTACAACTCTCCAAACCATGTTCTTAATAAACAGCAGGCAATACTTTTCTAAGTCTCATAGCAACAATGAATGTCCATTGAATGTCAAACTCTTCTTAATAGCAGCCAGTTCACTACCATAATGTACAGTCATGAGACACATACCAATGTTCTGCTCAAGGACATTTTGATCAATGTTGGACCACATGTGCAATGGTTGTCTGTTGTGAAAGAGATTCATCCTGCCTGCAGCAAAGTTGATGCAAACAAACCTAAGGCAGAAGCTCTTCCAGAGTGTGGTAAAGCAACAAGTTTGTAGCCCAGATTTCTGAACTATCCCACACAGTCTGGGTGTGAAACAGGCCACCATGCATATCTGTAAGCATGTTATGATGTCTGCACAGTGACAAAACAGGCAAAAAGAAAATGTCCCTGCCACTGACACAGAACCATACTCAAGGACTGAAAACATACAGAAAAACCCAGAAAAATGAAGAATCCACAATTACACTCAGAGACTTCAGACCAACTCTGTCAGGACAATGATGCAGGCAGGAGGGCTTCATGGGCCTTTAACCGAAGGGGAAGCCCAGGGAGGTCTCAGGGTCACAGCAACACTGCACAGGAAATAAACAACACTCCTACAAGTGCACTACCAGTGAAATCCCATAATGCTCAAAGAACATGAGAGCTAAAGCAGAAATCAGATCAGAAGCAGCTGAAAAGCCTCCAGGGAAAGGGATGTGAAACGTAGGCTCTAAACAGACACAGGACAAAGAGTTGACTCAAGAGAAAAGGTGACCATTCTGAAGGAAAAAAATGTAAATGTCCATCATAGGAAATTCATAGAGAATACCAGAGGTGGTAAACCTAAATTAACCACAGGAAGGTAACAGAGAAGGTGCTGATGAAACCACAATCAGGAAATTCACAGTCTGCAAAATCAAGTTCTTCATGAGTTCTGCAGCCTGGAAAGAAACAGCACCCTTATAGGCAGACTGGTAAGTGAGAGAAGCAAGTTTGAAATGGCTTAGTGCGGTAAGATTCCAAGTCAAGAACATTCTGGAAAAGACAACATTACAGATGTACTAGCAGAACTGATGGTGCCAGGGACTCAGGGAGCAGAGAGGGAGGGAGGAATGAGGAGTGATGAAAAGGTGGAACACAGGATTCCCAGAGGAGTGAAACTCTTCTATATGACATTATCTTGTAAACTACGTGACACACACAATCACATCACACAGATGAGGAACCCTAAGGTAAAGGATAAACTTTGGCTTATCATAATGTGTTGCTTCATCCATTCTATTTATCAAATGTTCAACACTGGTTTAGTAACTAACAAACACCCTACACCAATGCAATATATTGAAAACAGTGGAGACTATCGACTGGAGAGAAGGGGTATTCCATACTATGAGTAATGGCACATTTAATGGTCACCTGGATTGGATTAAAGATACTGATGATTAATAGGATTCTGAGTGTGTGAATGAGGGTGTGTCTTAAAATGATTGGCATGTGGAACAGTGTACCAAACTGGAGAACCTCCTTAAGCTAGGCAGCACCATCCAATAAGACACTGTCTTGGGTGGAACAAAAGATGGAAGAGGAAGGAAGCAGCAGAAGAGCAAGCTCCTTTCTTCTCAATGGGTTCTTGATTGCTACTGCAATGGCCTGAGGACATCAGAGTCTGCCTTCTTCACTCTCCCAAAGTGGAGACTGCCAGTGATTCACCAGGGAATTTCCAGAATCTTTGGTCTGGACTAGGGCAGCACCATTGATCCCTATTGTTCTGAGGCCTCAGCCTCTTGGACTCTGCAGCTACTACTTCTCAAGCTCTCCAGCTGCAGACAGCCACTGTGGACATCCAACTTCAGGTCAAGTAGGCCAATCTACCAAGTCATGAAGTTTTACAAATATATACATAAGAAATAATAGTATATGCTAAATACCATTTTCATAATAATGCAAGAATAAAGCAAAGAGGAAGAGTCTTAGGTACAAATTTCAAAACTATGGACAAGAGCTATGAAACTGATTTTCAATACTATTTCCATCTGGAAATAAATTGGATAACAAGTCTTCAAAAGTCATTCAAGGGGCTGAGGTTGTGGCTCAGCAGTAGAGCACTCAACTCACACATGCATTACCCTGGGTTCAATCCTCAGCACCACATAAAAATAAATAAGTAAAATAAAGATATTGTGTCCAACTACAAATAAAAAATATTTTTTTAAAAAGTCATTCCGACTGCTGGTGTGCTGGTGTGCACCTGTAATTTAGCCACTAGATAGGTTAAGGCAGGGAAATAGCAAGTTGGAAGCCAGTCTCAGCAACTTATCAAGATAGTCAGACATTTAGTGAAACTGGTCTTCATCAAAACTTAAAAGGGGGTCTGGGATTGTAGCTGAGGGGCAGAGCACTTGCTCGCATGTTTGAGGTACTGGATATGATTTCAGCACCACAGAAAAATAAACAAACAAAATAAATATATTCTGTCCATCTACAACTATACAAAATATTTAAAAAGAAAAGAAAAAGAAATAATAAATACATAAGAAGAAGGGCTGAGGATGTGCTGAGTGGTCAAGTGCCTGTAGGTTTACTCCCCAGTAAAACACCTGCCCACCGCCAGAACGCTGCTCACAAATTGAAATTCATTTCTGGAGGATAACTAAGCATGAGCAAGTCCATGGCGTCAATCCCCAGCACTCAATAAGCAAGCAAATAAATACACAGCAGTCTATAATACTAATTCTCTTGGGCTGGAGAGTAGCTCGGTAGTAGAAAACTTGCCAAGCATGTATGTGGCCTTTCCTCGGATCAATCTCCAGCAGACCTCACACACACACACACACACACAAAAAAAAAAAAATACATGTAATGAGAGATAAAATGAGATTGTGTGGTCTGAGAGTTATTTGCGGGTCTCGGTATTACAATGTGAACTTCTGAGCCCCTCCTCTTACATGATGAGTATAAAATCCTAAAACCACCTGAACTCAGGGTTCAGGGGATTGATTGATTGATTACAGCAAAAGCTGTGCCCTCTGAGACTGGCTGCAGCCAGATAAAACTGTTTCCAGCTATCTTCAGTGCCTTGCCTCCTTTGTCCCTACATCATCATTTCCCTGTGCGCTTAGGTGACTACACGACTGGGGGGACTCTACATCATGGACTATCAGAAAAGGGAGCAGTTATCCTCTATTGATGGAGCCCAGGATTCCATATCCCTGGGATCTATACACAACCTCCTTATTCCCTTTAAGGCAGTTATTTTGAGCAAACACAAGGAAGTGTTAAGTGATTATTCTTTCCCCTCAAGTATAACATTCACAAATGGAAAACAAATGCTTTCAAAAGTGTCCTTCTTGCCAGGGACAGTGGCACAGGCCTGTCATTCCAGATACGTGGGAGGCTGAAGCAGGAGGATTGCAAGTTAAGGCTGAGGGAGGGAGGGAGGAAAGGAGGGAGGGAGGGAGGGAGGAAAGGGGGAGGGAGAAAGGAAGGAAGGAAGGAAGATTCTTTCCAATATTTCACTAAGTGATAATGAAAATTAGCAGAAGGTGTCCATTTGGACCGAGTGGGAAGAACCAAAGTCTGGCCGAGCTGTGAGGTGGAGGGAAGGTGGGTTTAGAAGGCAGGAGGCGCCTGCAATTTGGGGGACCTACAGCAGCCTCCGGAGGAGCTCCCCTGGGAGGAGGAAGGTGCATTTGTGGCCCTGCTTCCTCCACGTTGGGAAGAGTGGGTGTGGGCCACCAGTAGGGAGCAAAGGGGACACCAGGGCCCTGAGCCACCCTTCCAAACCCAGGGAACCAGAGGACAGGGTCCAGAGCCCTCTGCAGTTCATCCGCGCGCTGGGCCCCAAGGCAGGTGCTGGCTGCGCACCTTCAGCCCTGGTTGCAAACTCACCATTTTTGGCTTCCGTGGTGAACCGGGGTCCTCTGAGGAACCTTCAGTCAACCAAGATCGCGGGGTTCACAGGGAACGAGAGTCACGTGTTTCACTGAGGAGAGAACTCAGGCGCCAGAGAAAGAGCAGCCCAGTCCCTGAGAAAGAAAAGCCCCCGAGATTGCGGAAGCCCGCCCTTCCCCTCCCTCTGCGCACTGATTGGACAGTTCCCCCCAGCGACCCTGATGGATGGCCTCCAGGCCCGCCTCTGCATCGTGACTGACAGCTACCATCATCCAATCACTGGCTGAAATTGGGTTAGTGACAGATTCTTGGCCCCAGCCCTTTTCAGGCGGAGCTTCCCCACTGTGCTGGGAACTAATCCAGGTGGGAAGCCTTGGCTTAGTCTCTGTTATGGATGTGACATGTGGCTCTGCTATATGTGTTCAACAGCCACAGAGTGCTTTCCGAGTATGGTGAGGCCCTGGGTTTAACCTCAACACAAAAACAAACCMTAGCTTCTCAGGGAGGCTGAGGCTGGAGGAGCCCAAGGTCAGTGAGACCTTCTCTTAAAATAAAA